ATTGATGGAAGAGTTGAAAGGGAGGTGGCTATGTTCTGCAGCCTTCCTCAAGGATGCATAATATGTGAATATTTGTCTTAGGCAAGATTTAGGCCCTGTGTGAGACTGTCCTGAGCTACAGGGCAGACTGGAGAGGTAAAAAGCATCACAGAGAGAGGCTGGAGGTACAGTATAAAGACTATGGCATTAGTCAGTCCTCACAAAGGCACCGCAGCAAAAAACATAAGGTGCTTCAAACATCTATCAAGTTCATAGAGTGGCAAACTAGATCACCATGGTGGTATCAATTAAGCAAGAAGACATAGAAGCCAATTAATTGATGGGAAAAGGACCTGAATAGACATTTCTCAAAAGAAGACCTACAAACAGCCAATAGGTATATGAAAATATTATCAACATCATGAATCATGGGGAAATGCAAATTAGACCCACAATAAGATTTTACCTCACACCAGTAAGAACAGCTTTTATCTAACAGATAAAAGCATGTCGGTGAGGATGTGCAGGGAGGGGAATTCCGGTACACTGTTGGTGAAAATGCAAATTAGTACAGCCATTGTGGAAAACAGTGTAGAGGTTCCTTAATTAATTAAAAATAGAACTACCACAGGATCCAGCGATTCCACTTCTGGATATGTATCCAAAGAAAATTAAATCAGTATTTCAAAGAGATATCCACATATCCTTGTTCATTGCAACACTAGTCACAATAGCTAAGATACAGAATCAACCTCAGTGACTATCAATGAATGAATAGATTAAAAAATGTGGGATATATACACAATGGAATACTATTCAGCCATAAAAAGAAGAATGTTCTTTCATTTGCAGCAATATGTGTGAACCTGAAGGACATTATGTTAAGTGAAAGAAACCAGGCATAGAAGGAAAATACTACATGATCTCACTCATATGTAGGATCTAAAAAAGTTGATCTCCTAGAAGCTAAGAGTAGGATGGTGGTTGCCAGGAGCTGGAGGTGGGAGGCAAGGAATGGAGAAATGTTGGCTAAAGTGTTCAAAGTTTCTGTTAGGTGAATAAGTTCTAGAGATCCAATGAATGGCATGGTGATGATACTTATGATGTGTACCTGAAAACCTCTCAGAGAGTATATTTTAAAAGTTCTCATCACAAAAAAATGACAAGGGTATGAAGTGATAGATATGTTAATTAGCTTGATTTAGCCAATCCATCATATATACGTATATCAAATTATCACATAATACCACATGAATATATGCAATTTTTCATTTATCAATTTAACAGTAAAAATTCAAATAAATTTTTAAATCTTTAAATAAAAAAGTAAAGTTCCTGTGAAGCACATATTCTTTTCAGTTAGCTACCAGATTTGACCTTTTCTCTCAGCAATAAAATTCAAATTATGCATAAAATATAACAAAGATGAATACCAATGGGTTATATTCCTCTCCTCCCTTCCTGTCCCCCAACCCTGGAAAATTTAGAGGTCTCTCTTTGTAATCCTTAGTAGGGGACACAGAAGGGCCAGGTGGAGAAAGGAGCCACTTGACCAGAAAGACCGGTCAAGTAGCTGAAAGACATTATTCTTTCTCCCCACAAACTGGGTAATTATTTGATTATTCCAGGGGATAGACATTCTTATTAATAACTCAGGATTCTTTGAATTACCCAAACATAAGAAGCAAGATTGTGCAAACTGCCTGACTTTTTTCAAATTCAGAAACAGAGAAAGAATTAGCCCACAAAGTGAACATTAAATGATTTTTAAAAATCAAATTGCATTGACATGATATAATGTACTTTTACATTACTTGGATTGCAAATTGGGTAATTTTCAAATACCTATTGGGCTTTTGCATTTCTAGTCTTTGTGAATTCCATGTTCAGGTTCTCTCCATAGTTAGATATTAGAGTCTTTGTGAGTTTCTCACTGATCTGTGTGACACGACTGGACACTTTTGCCATGGACATCAGTAGTTGCCTTAGTAATTGCTCCACCTTGCAGAACTTTATGAAGTTAAAGGGAAAGGCTTGATGCCAGCATTCACTTTCTATTTCCTCTTTAGTCAATTAGAGATGTGATTCAGACACACTTCCATCTAGATTCTAATTTGCATTTGGGCCTAATTCTATGCCATTACTATGCAGCTGTTTTAGCCAGTGTAGCACTTCCCAAACTTTCTCCTTCTTGGTGAGATGGCCTCCTACTAAATTACTTATTTTATTTGATCCCATAATTCCTCAAAATTATTTCATTTTGATCTCCCAGAAAACTACTACAGGAGATATATTTATACTTGAAATTGAAATTAAGTCCTCGATAATAGAAAACATTTTAAAGAGAGTCCCAGGAATGGCTCCTTTAGTTGATACTTTCAATAATTTGGCAGAGCAGGAGATGGTCAAAAGTCATATTTTAAAAGATTCTTACTTTGTGTCTGGGCCTAGGTCCATACATAGCACCATCTAGAGCACTTTGAGTGCCTAAATAATTAGGATCAGCACAAAAACAGCCTGAGCTGTAGCTTCAACTATGCATAAGTACATTCATCTTGTCAATCTTTGATGAATTGGGAAATTTCCTGGAATTGGAACTCTCTGTGATCTACTGGGCTTCCTACGTTACTCACTTCATGCCCAATGCAGGTACTGTCTTCTGATAAAGAACAAAAAGCATCGTCTGTATCTGTCAACATACTGCAATTGTGTCTAGACTAGATTGGTGAGGTTTGGGCCTCTCTGGTCATATTGTATTTGCTCTACCTTGATCCGTATCCAGTTTATTCCCTACTCTGATAACCCAGACTTTTATTTTTTCTTCCTTCCTTCCTTCCTTCCTTCCTTCCTCCCTTCCTTCCTTCTTCCTTTCTCCCTCCCTCCCTTCCTTCCTTCCTTCCTTCCATCCTTCCTTTCTTCCAGAGTCAGGGTGTCTCACTCTATCACCCAGGCTGGAGTATAGTGATGCAATCATAACTCATTACAGCCTGGAATTCCTGGACTCAAGCGATCCTCCCACCTCACCCTCTCCTGTAGCTGAGACTGTAGATGTGTGCCACCACGCTTATCTTCCCCTTTCTTTATAACAAAGGATTGCACAAACATTTATGGAGGGTTTTTTAATCACTTTAGTTTATCTGACTTTTATATACCTCCATCTGAAAATATCCTATTCATCCATTTATTCTTTCTCTCATTCAAAAAATAAATGTGATATATTTACTCTATGCCTGACACTCTCTGTCCACACTTTCATTTTGTTCCCTAGAGAATTAAAGAAAATCACATGATAGGACACCTGTATTAAAGGATGCATAACATCTTTGTAAGCAGTCATCTAAAAAAAAAATTCATTCAACTCCTGCTTTAGTTTATTAATTTACATACTGAGGTTAGAAATACATTCTCAGAGAGGGACTGATTTGTCAAAAAACAAAGATTAGATGACCAGAACCAATAAAGCAAGTACAAGCTGATGCAGGAGGAGACACAGGGTTGTAGACTGAGGGAGGGCATAACCGAGGCTTGAAATTTAATTAAAGCTAATTCCACAGGAAAACTGAAATTATTTAATTTGATATTTAAGAAGATTTCGTCTTTCTCTCATGAAGAGACATCTTCAGAGGTATTTCACACATGCTATGATTTCTTTTGCAAATGCTTTAAAAATGTTAGATACTTCGTTCAAGCCACTGTGGCCTTGTAAGAGGTCATTTCAAGAATGAGCATCAACTATGGTCAATCAGGAAGTTAACGCATCACATCACTTTTGTTGTGAAGTTTGACTTTTGAAAATTACTCATATTAGTAGAAAAATAGAGTAAACATGGTAGTTTATGAAAAGACATGCTTTAAAACAATATACTGGGTTTTAGCATTTGTAGTGATAGCAGCATAATTCCATGGTTGGCTCTCTCCTTTGCTTTGATGTTCAGACAGAAAACTTTATAGAAATTGAGGAAATAGTATCCAGATTTGTAGTGGTCTCAAGTTTTCTGTTTAGCATTTTTCCTCAGTGATATCAGCTGGAATTCCTTATCCAAAACAAAGGGTGGTACAACTTAGTATAAAGATGGTATTTCAGAGGTATCCCCACAGAGCCAGTCTTACAAAAAGTAGTATTTGACAGTCCTCACCCAATGAGTATATTCAGCATCTAAAATCAATATAATTTATCTTGGATTTCATGAGACTCAAATACCATACCTCTTTAATGAAAAAATGACAAAAATATTCTGACAATTGGGACTCTACCCTCAGAGGACCCTGAATGTCTTGATATTATCATGAGAGTCACCAGACTACACTGACATAACTAGAGAAGTTTGTTCCATGACAACACTGCTGTCACCGTCCTCACCTATAAATTTGCAGCCCTGATGGACTCACATGGCAGCTTAGGAGACTGAGTCCTCAGGAAAATAGAAGTACTGCAAAAGGTAGTGTATTTTATGTAGGTAAGATGTTATACTCTCCTTCTCCTAGTCTCAAAGTGATGGATGATTGGCCCTTGTGAAATGAAGCAAAGAAGATGCCAAGAAGCCTTCAGTTTATATTAACAGATTCTTTCAGTTGACAGTAGAATCTGAAAATAATTGAATGTGCCAATAATGATGTCTTCCTCATCCAATTTCCTTTTGTAAAATGGCTTTTACTTATATAGAGAGATTCTTAAGTACATTTGATGTCTCTTTTAAAAGGCTTTCTTTTTTCTCCCTTATCTGTTGAGGATGCTAAATTTGTGAAACCATTTCATGAAAATAAAGAAATGATTACCAAGTTTCTTAGCATGTTTATTTTCTGAGGCTACCATAAATGTGACTGTGTTTGATTTTTCAAAATGTTTCATAATTATTTATTTTTGCCTAAAAACATTAAAAATAAGAAATGACAACCTGAGAAAAAAGTGATGAGTGATTTATCATGCTATATTTTTATGTATAGTGCCTGATGTTAGTACGCCAACAAGAAATGTTTTATATATAAACATATATATATATATTTTTTTTTTTTTCTTTCAGCTGTTTACCTCTGTAAGAGAACAATGCAAAACAAGGCACGACTGGAGCTAGCAGACTATGAGGCTGTAAGTACCAAGGACTTTCTGGCAAAGAAAGTCATAAAATAAACAGCAGTAAGGCCTATGGTTTTTTTCTGCGGACTCTGTTGCTTTCTCCATTGGTGGATCTTAAAGGTCAGATTTCAAGGGATCAGGCAGTACTATGGCTTCATAAATCCCTGTTTTCCCTGTTTGCTTCTGCCTCTCTTCATTCACACTGAGTATGGTGAAACCCTAAATACGTAAACTCAAAGTAGAAAGGAAAACATATCTTATTTTCTAAAATTCACTTAACTGTAAAAACATAAGATACACACTATAGTGAAGATATCCACACTCCAAGAATTAAAGACCACTGACATTGGGGAAAAACGGGTTTTGCCAAGCCTTCAGGTTGATCACCATCAGCAGACAAAATTAATCTGATGTTATTTGTTTCGATAATTGCTATGTTGTGATTTAGTGAATTCAAAGCACTGTGCAGAAATGAGTTGTGGTCTGCTGAGGGTTTACATTTCTTGTCGGGAACTGGGTAGACTATATCAGTAGCAGGAATGTGTTGATTTCCTGTTCCTCTGCAAAGTGGGCACAGAAAGATCCAATGCACTTGTCTGGAGCACTTTTTTTTCCCAAGGTAATTTTAGTATTTTGCAGATACATACTGGCTTTTGGTTGTGTTCTCTAAAGTTAATAATTCATAAAAATTAATATTTGGAACCGTTTTTTCTGCATCCTCTAAGGCTGCCAATATGAAGATTAGCTGAATTCAGTGAGCATGGCTTGCCATTCAGTACCAGAGCACGATTGGTACTTTAGAAATTCTGTATTTGTTTTCTTAACAAATCCATATGGTCAGTAGTTAGAAGGGAGTCGTGAAGAAGAACACCAGAATGGCTTCACCTGGGGTGTTTTTTTGCAGGAGAGTCTGGCCCGGCTACAGAGAGCATTTGCCCGGAAGTGGGAGTTCATTTTTATGCAAGCAGAAGCACAAGCAAAGTGAGTCCTTGTGAGTCTTTTGGAAGATTTGTTCAAGTTGTGGACTTTTGTCCAGATAGGCACTACAATTAACACTGCTTGTTATCCATTGTTACGATGTTGACAGAGTGGACAAGAAGAGAGACAAAATCGAAAGGAAGATCCTTGATAGCCAAGAGAGAGCATTCTGGGACGTACACAGGCCAGTGGTAAGCAAACACACTGCTGTCATCTTGAGTCCATTGAAGACTGGAAATTGAGGGGGACCCTGTGCAAGTTAGGGAAGACTGTAGCCACCCCATCACAAGTGTCACAGTATCTTGGAGAATTAGTTACAAAACGATTGCCACTTTTGTACAGGAGGACAAGGCCTCCATAGTATCATACTGAATTTATGAAATGATACATTTTTCCACCATGACATCACTTGTTTAGTCGCTCTTGGCATTTGAGGTGTTTGATGCTTCTACATAGATTTGAAAGAAAAAACACTGCAATAAAGAAGTTTTTCATGGCTTATTGCTTACAGTTTTTAATAGTAAAAGTGTAAGTCAAAATGTTATTTCTTCCCTAAGTTTTCTTTTTAAAACCTATGTGCCTCAGAGAAACAACCAATGAATATCTTTAATTAATACCAGAAAACTTCGTGGAAGGAATCGAGCAATAGTTATGAATATACATAAGACAGCATGTCTAACCTCACAAGTTTCTTTCTGTTTTGATGGTATAGCTTTTTCTTCTGTAGATTTCTTTAAGTACAGACAAAGCACTAGAGAATAATATTTACATATGTATTATTAGAATAAATAACAGGCTTACAGCATGAAAGACAAATCAGGACTGATAAGAATACCTTAAAATTTTCCTTTCAACTACCTTCAGAATCAGACCAAAATAGAATGACTCCATAGGTTTATTTATATATGTATGTATGTATTTCAATTTCAGATAGCGATGCAATTGTTAAATGTTATATTGAATTTACTCTTTATTTTGAATTCTCAAAGGTTTAGAATTGAGAGTTAACTGGCTTTGCGCCTCAGAATTCAGTTTGAGTTTTATTATTCATGGAGGAAAGGGATTATGAGGTCACATGTAAAGCTACTACAAGAACACAAAGTAGGATGTTTATTTTTTGTTTGTGTGTTTTAAGCAATGTGTAGAAACCAGTCAATTATTAACATTCCCATGTTGATCCACTTTTTCTCCCTGGACATCCAGTGGTTCACCACTAGCCTCATTCATACCTGGATCCTCCGGGCAGCCCAAGAGAACTCATACCACGCTGGCTCCCATGCACTGCCCATGTCTGTTCCGTGCTCTGAGCCTCCCGTGCTTTCAGAGTGTGTCAGCAGATCCCACCTCAGCACACTCCCTTGCTCTGTTGCCTAAGAATTACATAGCTAGTGTCTTACCCTTTGTGTGCCCCTGTTGGAGGCAGAATCTGACCCAGTTGTCTTTCTCTCTATCCAGTATGAGGCAGGCTCTCGTCTTCTATGTTTCCCGCCAGCAAGGGGCACGTGTGAGTGTTTTCCAAATGGTTCCTGTCACATCTCTCACTAGGCTTCCAACTAGAAAGTCATCCCAAGGAGGATGTGGAGGCAGAAACCACCCTGAAGCCATTGACTCCATCTCCCTTTTTCAATTTGAAAAAGCTTATAAGAGACTTTATTTCACCTACAATGAAGATAATACGCAGTACTTTGCTACTGCTTACTTTCCAGAGGAAAATAGAGCTTCAGACTGTCTGTGTGCCTCTGAGAATGACATACACCTAAACCAATCCTACCTTCAACCATTTATTTTTCTTACATTACAACTTTGTACATTACTTTAGGGGTAATACATCTTAGCCTTTTTTTTTTTAAGTTAATTTATTGTTATTTTATTTTTTTTAAGAGACGAGGTCTTGCTATGTTGCCTAGGCTGGTCTTGAACTTCTGGGCTCAAGCAATCCTCCCTCCCTCCTTGGCCTCCCAAAGTGCTGGGATTACAGGCCACCTCCCGACCTTAACAATTTATAAACATTCTGAAGTGGTTCCAGACACTTATGAACTGCTGACATTTGTCCAAAGGCCACATCTGCCATACCGGTGCTGCCTTTCATCTTTCTTTTAGTCTTCTAGGTCCTTACTAAAGGTTAATTGACAAAGTTGATGTCAAAGATGATAGCAGGGACATTAGCAGCAACGTACCACTAAGGAAACTTCTAATGACTGTTTTCTCAACCAAATATATAAGCCATATTTCTATTTACTGGTGGTAGTGTTAACTAAGTAGGGACAAGCACTTTCTAAGATGACTATACCTCAAAAAAAGTGTCATATGAAAAAACAAGAATATTGTGGTAATTTCCAAGAATGGCTACACTTTTGTGCCCATCCCTAGAAATAATTTCTGCAGCTGTTGTAATCAATCCTAAATCAATACACTTCAACCCAAAATCCTGTATCCCAGAGTTAAAACTGAAAAGTATTCCTATAACTGAGTTTCTTTTTCATAGTCTGTCCTGACTGTGACCGTAGTGAAAAACTCTTTCTACCCAGGTATTCATTGTAAAACTTTAGTATCTTCTTGACAAGACCAGTGAAGACATGTTTTGCATACTAACACCAACTTATTTTCACCTAAGCAATTTAGAATCCTAGAATATTTGTAGGAAAATACCAGACAGCATCTCTAACTGTCCAGCGGTTTAATCTGATGTGCCCCTGGACCTACTATTGCATACCATCTCTCACAAGATGTCTCAGTATATGAGGCACTGTTCTGTTGTATACTTTTCTGGTTTTTGCCATTTCAGCCAATGACTAATAGCAAAAGCAAATAGGGAGACCTGTGGTAGAATGGGAAGCACGTGGACATGGTACAGACAGACCCGAGTCTATTATTACTAGGCCTCCTTTGGACAATTATTTACCCTTTTTGAGATTCAGAAGCCTCATTTATATAATGGAAATCTACCTACCTCGCAATGTGGATGTGAACATTAAATGAGATTATGTGGGTAAAGGCAGCTAGCGCATTATTTGACATATGGAATACAGTAAGTTTTCAATTTGCTTTGTGAAGAGATGGAGCAAGTAGCATAACAAGGGTAGCATAAGAAACATGGATTATGGCAACAGATGATGCAAATGCAACTTCTGCACTTTGTTGGTTTCACCAGTATCTGCCAGTCTAGTGGAATACCATCAAGGAGAGGAGCAATCTTCCTTTCTAGTTCTGAGATCTCAAACAGAATAATTCCTAAGACTACTCCCCAGCCATCTCCCTTCAGCCTCATCGTTGCATTCTTCCATTAGGGTATACCTTGAAAAAATGGACTGATCTTTACTTAAGGTTAAATAAATGAGGAGATTTTTATGTATGTCGGTAGGAAGACTCAATATTGTCAAAATGTTAGTTCTTCAAAACTTGATCTATAGATTCAGCACCATCCTAGTCAAAATTCCAGCAAGTAATTTTTTGGATCTTGACAAAGTGATTTTAAAGTTTGAAAAGGCAAATATACAAATAATCAACACAGCATTGAAAGAAAATAAAATCAGAGGATTGTTTCTACCTAATTTTAAGACTTACTCTAAGCTTGCAATAATCAAGACAGTGGGGTATTGTAAGAACAGACAAATATATCAATGGAACAGAATAGTGAGCCCAGAATTAGACCCACATAAATATAGTCAACTGACTTCTGGCAAATAAAAAAAGGCAATTTAATGAAAAAAAGGATAGTCTTTTTAACAAATGGTTCTGGAACAACTGGGTGTCCATATGAAAAAATAAATAAATAAATCTCTATATATACCTTACACCCTAAAACTTTTAGGAGATAACATAGGAGAAAATCTTAGTGATCTTAGGCTTGGTGATGACTTTTTAGATACATCAAAGGCACAATTTATTTTAAGAATAATGTAAGTTGGACTTCATTAAAATTAAGCTATTTTGTTCTGTAAAAGACATTGTTTAAAAAGTGAGAATACAAGTCACATACTGGAACAGTATTAGCAAAACATGTAACTGACAATGTACGGGTATCCAAAAATATACAAAGAACTGTTAAAACTCAACAATAACAATAAAGCAGCCCATTGAAAAATGAACAAAAGAGCTGAACAGACCCTGCACCAAATAAGCATATGAAAAAAAACTCAGCATCACATTCATGAGGACACTTTAAATTAAAACAATGAGATACCACTGCATATCTAGTACCATAACTAAAATTCAATGCACTGGCAGCATCAAATGCTGGTGAGGATGTGGAGCAACAGGAACTGTCATTCCTTGCTGGTGGGAAGGCAAAATGGTATAGCTACTTTGGAAGATAATCAGAGTTTCTTATGAAGCTAAACATACTCTTAGTATGTGATATAGCATTCACACTCCTTGGTATCTACCCAAATGAATCAAAAAGTTCTATCCACACAAAAACATGAATGTTTTGGGTGACTTTATTCGTAATTTCCAAAACTTGGAAACAATCAAGATGTCCTTCAATAGGAAACTATGATATAGTCATACAATGGCATGGTTTTCAGTGATAGAAAGACATGAGCTGTTGAGCCGTGAAAAGACATGGAGGAACCTTAAATGCATAGTGTTCATTGGAAGAAACCATTCTAAAACTAGGCTAGATGTCATATAATTCCAACTCTATGACATTCTGGAAAAGGCAAAATGGTAGAGACAGGAAAAAGATCAGTAGTTTTCAGGGGATGAGAGAAAATCAGGGAGTGATGAATAAGAGGAACACAGGAGATTTTTAGGGATGTGAAACCATTTTGTAGGATTCTTTAATGGCGGATATATGTCTTTCATTACTCATTGGGCAAAGCTCACAGAATTTACAAAATCAAGAGCAAATCCTACTGCAACTTTAATTAATAATAATGTATCAGTGTGGTTCATCAGTTAAAACAGGTATACAAACAAAGCTATGCTAATGTAAGATATGTAAGATGCTAATACAGGAGAAATTGGGATGAGAAGAGAAAGTATATGGGAGTTTTCTGTATTCACTGTTCAAACTCTCTGTAAACTGAAAACTGCTAAAAAAAAATAAAGTCCTTGAATTAAAAAGCAAAGAAACATAGATAGAACTTCTTTACAAAGTAGAACAGAGGACATGCCATAGGAAGAGTAATGAACTAAACAAAACCTCTGGCCACAAGGACAAAACAGTGTCATATGATATCAGGAGATA